CATGCACTGAAATTGAGTATTTCTTTTATCAACTCACCAAATGATGATGGCCATGATGGTTGTCATGGTGTCACGAGATTATGGATTAAAGAAGTGCGCTTTTCTTGATACGTATTCTTATGTTTGACAATGGTTAATGGAAGAGGGTGGTACCATATTAATTCATAGAGCAAGATATTGTAGTACAGTTTTAGATTTGTTGAAGAGAATAAGAATATCTTGTAGTCGTTCCCAAGAATTATTCTGTAGCGTTGGCTTCTCTAATTTCTTTAGCTTCCAAGTATGCGAGGAAGGAATACCCTATCTAATCATATGCGCAGAAAGTGTTCCTTGAGGAATATATAGCAAGATTTTGACTTGTTGAAAATGACAATCTCAGATAAAGTTGCACTATTGTTAAAAGGCAGCAGTTGCAAATAAATTAATCAAAGGACGCTCCGAAGAATTAAAGGTTTTAATTCAAATCATAAGAGAGATGACTGTGCCCATTTTTTGATTGTACGTGATCTAGAATAAACTAGTTGGATATCCTTACCGAGCTATGGTCGGATAATTATTATATACATAAAGTTAACGATTTATATGATATAATACGGATAAAAATCTTATTTCTCGTAATTAATATAAATTAAATCTATTTATTGAGTAAAATCATTTGATTTATATATATTTATTTAATAAAATAATAAATAATATTAGTATAAAAAATTATATTTGAATAATTGAAAGGTTCTTATAAAATATTATTTCAATCATTTTATTTAAAAATATTGATTTTAGAATATGAAAAGGAATAAATAATAAATAATTGATGTTATGTATGTAAATACATAATTAATTTTCAATATATATATACTATGATCATATTTAATTAGTAGATTCAGAATATATAGTATAAACAAATTTTTGATTTTTTCAAAAAAACTATCTAAGCTCGTATGAAATATATTAAAATCAATAAATTGAAATAAAAACTATTAAAAAATTGGTTTCCATAAATTCTTCATTTATGATGAAGGAGATTCTTGAATTGCAAATTAAATTTTAAATGAGTTCATCTTATTTTGAGAAATGAATTAATTAATTCTTTTGGTTTCAAAAATAAATTATTTAATTTTTTAATCGGTGTTGATCATGAATAATTTATTTTTTTATTTTATAAAATGTCTTTTATTGTATTTTACTTATTTTTTTTCCAAGATCATTTTTTTTAATCTTCCGATTTATCATTTTCTTAATTCTATATGGTGGTCCTAAAAAAGTAAAAAAAAAAATGAGGTCTCTAGATACTACTTTTATGAATCATTGAAATTTATTTACACCTCTCTCTTTCCAATTTCTTATCTCAAAACCAATCTCTACCTCCCTCTCGCTGCATTTATTTTTATTTTTCTCCTTTCTTTTTTTCACCCACATTAATCTATACAAATACTTGAGAACGAATAAAGATCACTAAAATAACCCAACATAGGATTTCATGGTCTCTTTATACAATACTAAGATATTTTTGATTAGATGAGATAATTTTCTTCAAAAAAATAAAATGTCTTTTTTCATATTTTACTTTTTTTTCTATTTCTTAAAACAAAAAATAAAAATCGTAAAATGGTAAAAAAGGAAAAAAATTATTTTTCAAACCAAAGGGACTAATTAATTTATTTCTCAAAGAATTATTTTTTTTTGTTTTTTTTTCTATTTCTTAAAACAAAAAACAAAAATGGTAAAATGATAAAATGTACCAAAAAAAAAAAAAAGTTTTCAAACCAAATAGACTAATTAATTTATTTCTCAAAGAAAGAGGGATGAAGAAGTAACAAAGAAATGTATAAATAGGGACATTGGATGAGGAGCTACGGTAAGTAAATAGTCGTACCTTCACTTTTTTTAGTTTTTTTTTTTTTTTTATAATATTTATAAGCGTCTTTGATTATTTTAATATTTTTGCTAAGATAATTTTCGGGAAATGAATGAGGATCAAATTAAAAATGCGATGGAAGTTGACGAGGTTGAATATATATAATACAAATTAAGTCACTCTACCTGTAAACCTCATGAGAGGAAAATAAAATCCACCCTTTCAATCCCTCATGCATGCATATTTTACTTTACTTTAATTGACCTTCAAACATTTTTTATTACATAATAAAACATTAACTTGTCACTATGTATTTTAACTTATTATTTTGTAATGTAATTGTAACGAATGAAAAAATAGACATGCAATTATGATCAAAACACAACTTTGTTTTTGCTTTAGAAAATAAGAGGAATACTTTTCACTTCTTTAATGGGTCTTTACTAATTCTCACGAGCTATTAAATAAAAAAAAGGTTTAATTATGTGTTTTTCCAAGTTCATTTAAAATCTTTGGTTTGTTTCAATTACTATCCATATCATTTATTTTGTTTTAATTTTTCTCTCCTTTCATTTCCGTCCATTTCTATCAAGATTTTTAATAGAAAAGGTTTGTCAATTTTAATTTTATTCTTAAATTTATGAAAAAAAAATCAATAAAACCAAAATATATATATATGAATAAACAAATTGAAATTAAAACATCATTAAAGAAAGAAAAAAAATTCAATAAAAAATGTGGTAAAAAATGATTTTTTTTTCATCAACATTATCTATCAATCCTTTGATAATTCAAGAATAAAATTAAAAAAAAAATCGGATAAAAGTTTTTTTTGTTTTTTTATCAACTTCATCGACCATTGTTTTCGTTGCCTCTCCTAAAATCTCTCATTAGAACATTGTATCTACATATTATATTTCATTCTCTTTTAAGATCTGCTACCACATATTAAACAAAAATTCTAAAAGAAAAAAAATTGTGATTGCAATCTATATTTTCAAATACTTTCAATGTTTAATATAAATAATTAATAATGAAATATGATACAATCACATGAACAAAATATTTATGTTTATAAATCTCAAAATCTAAGTAACAAGTTGTTGATTCAATAATAAATGAAATGGTTCCTAGACAAATTTTCTATTAATATACAGAATTCAAATCTTAAAGTTGTATTTGTTAAAAAAGATTAAATTTTATTGTTTTTGTTCGAGTAAAATTAGTTTTATCTCAAATATATGATGGAGATACCTAAAAATAAAAAAATTTCAAAATCTAATAAATTAGGTTTGGTAGCCAATTTAAATTAACTTGATAATGCCAAATCGCACAAAAAAAACTCAAAAATAGATGTGATGTTATAAGTAATAAATTCCTTGGTACAGATATTCGTAAATAAAAATACTCATTAAAGCGGAATTAGTTTTAATACAGAGTCCCTATAGCTAATTGTATATTATATCTATTTCTTTGTCTGTAAACTAGTTTCTCAGTAATTGTTTCAAACACGAAATGGAGAGCAATCTTGAACAATGAAGAACCTTGTTAGTTTAGAGAGGGAAATAAAGTACTAATTAATTACTTCATAACAACCATTTATACCGACTATGAAATGTTAAAGTGGTGTTACCCCACTCATAAGTGTCAAGAAGAAGAGGCATTTATTGGGTGGAGTGGAGTTTTTTTCTCGGTTAGTTTTATTAAGCTCAATACAGATGGCTACGTGGTTAATGTTAATAGATTGACTTCAGTAACGAAAGTGTTGGTGTTATTTTTGAGGAACTTGACTTTATGATTTTGCTTACAATATTGATGTATGTTCAGTTTTAAATGTTGAACTCTAGAGCAATTTAATTGATGTTGAACTTGCTTATATAAAGATCAAGTGGAACTTGAGATTGATTCTAAGATGAATATGAATCTATTATTCAAAAAAGATAATGTATTATCTTATAGAAAGATGAATTGACAAGTCAGTTATCCTCATTTTTCAGATGTTGAAATTTATTATCTTAAAAGACTTTTTTGGGTTGCGTGAAACTTTTATTAGGTAATATTTGTGGAGGTAAAATTAAGAAAACATGATTATTAAATACAAATTTCTTAAAATAGAAAATAAGGGCCTTGTTTGGTCTAAATTGAAAATAATTAAAGGAATGTGTGTAAAACATTGAATGAACCAAACAAAACCTTTAGTTTTATTTTGGAGAATTTAGAAAATAACTATTTTGATATTTCTAATGTTTTAGAGAATTGAAGAATTAAAAAAAACATGCGTTTTTAAATAAATATCATTTTTAATAATAAACACGTTTACTTTTAGTTTTCTATTTCCTCAATATTTTTTTCTAGAAAATTGGAAAATTTTCCACAAGTAAGTGCATCCATATATTTAACATGCGGTAAATTCTATGCATGGATTCCCAGCTTTCTAATGTTACTTAATTGAAAAGAAAAGGTAACTTAATCTTGATATACCAAAACAAGTTGAAAAGAGGGAAACAACAAATATGCCCAACCCAACTGTTGTTCTCAACCGAGTCCTCCAATATATTATTTTCCAATTAATTCCTCTATCTAATTAAGCATTACCCAATTATACCCTGCTATCGAAAACAATTGAGATTCCAAACTTAGTTATGAACTTGGATACTTGGGCAGCATCCCCATTAGACTGGGATCTCGGAAATTAATTGAGAATGAGGTAATAATTGCGGGACATCTTTGTTGTTTCCCCTAAAAATTTACCTCATAAACTCTTGGTCTTTGTGGTAATAAACCAACCCACTGCAGTTTTAATCCAAATCAAATCCGGCCCCCAAGCAAAACAACCCAACAACAGAAAGCTTCATTTTGTTACAGAACACAACAGCGCATCAACACTGCCAACACGTACTAGAAAAGACACACTCGCCATGCAAGCTTCTATCACATGTGTCACCCCATTATACCACGTGTCTTTTCCTCTTTCTCCTTAAATACAACACTCCTCCTTCCTAGTTCTCGCCGTCACTACTATCTCCCTCTCTCTCTCCGCTTTTGCATGCCATCTCTGGAATAATTAGTCTACAATCTCTGTGGCTAGTTAAGCACTTTTTTTTTTTTTGAAGAATTTAATTAATTCAGTCCCAGCTTCCTCTCCATGGCTGACTTTCGCCAACAACAGCAACAACTTCAGAGACCTGGTGGCCAAGGCATCCCTGACATCCTACCTGGAAAGGGTCCTTCAACTTTCCAGGTTTTAGCTGTTTTAACCTTGTTACCTGTTGGTGGCACCCTTCTTTTCCTTGCAGGTCTCACTCTTGTTGGGACACTTATCGGGCTAGCTGTGACAACTCCAATTTTTGTGATTTTTAGCCCAGTTTTGGTCCCTGCAGCTCTTGTCATAGGCTTGGGCGTGCTTGGATTTTTAACATCTGGTGCTTTTGGGGTCACTGCGCTCTCTTCACTCTCTTGGATGGCCAGCTATATTGGGAGCTTGATCAGAGGGCCCTTGCCACAAAAATTGGATCAGGCAAAGCGGAAGACACAGGAAACAGCAGGACAAGTGGGCCAGAAAGCTAGGGATATGGGCCAGAATGTTCAGAGTAAGGCCCAGGACGTGACAAAGGGTGGTCAAGCTGGCCAAGAGGTCGGAAAGACATGAGGATTTTTGGGCTTTGAGGCCTACTGGCCAACCATCTTCTTGTGTCTTAATTTTGTTGTGTGGAATGGTTAATATGTGCCTTTTCTTTTATGTGTGCTGTTAAAAATGGTAGGGATTTCACGTGTAATAAGTAAAAGGTCTCCTGCAAAGACTAGTAGGTAATTGCGTCTCAGCTGTATGGTTTGTTTGCTTGTTTGTTTGTTTTTCTATATTATTTTGATTCAAGTACTGTCACGTATTAATTTTTTCCTTTTAATTAAAGTACGGTCACACAAATGTCTGTTGCCTATTCTCGATTGGAATAAGTTATGCTATCTTTGGGAAGGTTTAAATCTCTTATCACAACAGTTAATTTGAATTTAAGTAAAGGTTGATACTATTTTTAATCCAAGTGAAATACAATGCACTCCCAATTGGTGATTCCGTTATTGAATCCAAAAGTCCCCAAACAAAACGTATATCTTAATTGATATTTTATTCTGATACTATATATTTTCTTAAAGTTTTAAGAAACCAAAAATATTAAGACTTTAAAGTAATAATTTAAACAAAAACTCAAAATTTATTATCTTTTTGGTACCTAGTTATGTAGTATTATGATACGGTTCATAACATTTGTATATGCTCTATTGATTTAAAAATAATAAGACAATTGTTAAATTTCCTTATAAATAATATCGTATAATGCTAATGATACTATATATTATTATTCTATTGAGTTAGTAGAACCTAGAATAAAATTATATTTTATTTAAATAAACTACTCCTTTGGAGAAAAGAATTTTGAAAAAAAATATGTTGATAATGATAACAGTTGTGTGGAAAAACACATTGGAATTTCCTAATATTAAAATATAAATATCGAATAAAATCTAATAATTTATCAAATTTCATTTTCTTTTTAATAAAACTATTCAGATTTTAGTGAAACTTAGTGATGTATAAATAATTTAAAACATATTAAGAAAAGAATATTATAAAATAATTGAATAATTAAGGTTTTAAGCACAAGCACATACGTATCAAAATAACTAAAGTAAATTTAGCATCTAATAGTTGAGACGTTGATGTTGGAATCAAATTGAAAGGTATCTAGATTCTTTTTATTTTAAAAAGAAAGTAGTTAGTTTAATCGGTAAAGTTATTTTTCTCATTAATAATTCAAGATATATATTTCTCATTGGTAATTCAAGATATGTAGATTTGGGCTAGGATTGTGTATCTGAACTTTCTCTAAAAGAAAGTTTAAATCTTTTGAAACACTACTTTCTAAGATTCTTCGTCCTTTCTATAAACCAAAGGTTCTTCAAAGATGACATTTTTTTATTTATCCATAGACAGAGGTCCTTGATAACCAAAGAGCAGTAATTGAACTTTTGCATCTTATCAAAGGGGGCTAAAAACAGAGTTTGCAACTGTTCTTGCTTCAAGGATAATGACAATCAAACGGGTTAACACCCAAAGCCCAAATGGAGCTAGGATTCACGGGCTAATAGGCTTGTTGTGCGAGACTATAATTCATTGTTGGCCGGCCTTGTTTCCTGCCGGCCAACTCTTCTTTTGCTGTCCTCCTATTGGCTGCACAATGATCACCAAACTATGGTATGCATTTTTTCCCCCAACAAATGGATGTTATTGTAATTTTAGCCCCACTTATTTTGTCAAAAGTACTTTCAATGTCGAACTGGTGACGCTTGAAGAAGTAAAATCATGTGGCGCAGTTACCAAAGCATCCGTAATTCTGTATCATTGCTTCGAGTAGTAAAATTAAGAGAGCGGTATGCTATAAATTGACTGCTTCAGAAAAAGACTACGTTATTATAATAATTACTATTACTATGTAACTAAAACACATGAAAAGTGAACAGTGAATTTCAGTCTTTACCTCTTCACAAAACATTATTTACTTTTTTTTAATAATTTATGAATTCTTTCATTTTAATCCCTATAATAAAATTTTTAATCCTCTAATTAATGCAGCACATATGCTTTTTATTTATTTATCAATTTATGTTTTTTATTTAACAGAGTATTAAAATTTTAAAAAATCAATCATTATTTGTTTACACATAAATTGATGATTATATAATATATCTTTGAATAGTGAATTTCACTATTCACCTCTTTAAAAAACACTATTCACTCTCTCTCTTTTTTTTTTTTTTTTTTTGTAATTTCTAAATTGTTTCATTTTGGTTATTAGAATTTTAAAATAAAAATTTTAATTCTCTAATTGATGAAGTACACATGCCTTTTTTTTTGATTTTTTTTTATCAATTTATGTTCTTTTTTTTATTTAACTGGATGTTAAAATTTTAAAAAATCAATCGTTATTTTTTTTTTCACAAAAATTGACGATTATATAATATATATGATATGCTTTTAGATTTTAGAATAAATATATACTACTCTTATTAGTTAAAATTGATATTTCGATTTATTATAAAAATTCACATTAAGTTAATTTTTATTCTTATTTTGATATAATTTTATTTACTAATAAATATGATTTCTTTTCTCTATGTATGGATTCAAAAAATTTTTTATACTTGATTTTATTTGCTTAGTTCTTATATAATCAAATTTTAAAAATACAATATATGTATTTTATTTTTTGTTCTTTATAAAATAAAATTTTATCAAAATTAATTTTATATTTTTTATCGTACTCTATTGACTTTAATTTATATTTTATAATGTAATTTTTTTTTTAACTATTTTTCAATTTATGCTATACATTCCCTCACTAATTGAGCACGGTCAAGATGTATAAAACATTAATAATATTAGAGTGATTGATTTTATTAAAAATCAACTATGCATCTACACACGGTATCAACTACTTGCTATTATTTTTTCAATATTTTAAAATTAATTTTTTAAATAAAATAATCAAAATAATATTTTAGAATAACTGCTTAATAATTCAAATACAATTTTATTTTCTAATATTATTAATTATTTTGTAAATAAAATTATATAAATAAAATATATATATTTAAAACAATAATCTTCTCATCGGTAAAAAAAACTTCATTTGTTAATTTTCATACAAGTTTTATACCAATTGTTGTTTTATTTCTTCAATGCAATGTTATGAAAAAAAAATATAAATTTTGTTTAAAAATTTATATTAAAATTTTTTTGTTATGGGTTTTTATTTAAGAATAAATGCATAAGAATGAACAAATCAATTTTTTTTTACTTCAAAATTTATTCAAAATATAAAAAAGTATATATAGATACGAAATTTTGATTAAAAATTATAAAATGAGATGAAATTTATTTTTTATATTTAATTTAATATATTTTAATTAACAAACCACATGATATATGTTATCAAACTGAAATAAATATATTTAGTTCTATCTGCAGCGTAGCATGAGAATTTGAACTGTTCATACATATATGCCTCAAATTCCTATTCACTTACTCTTCATATGTATAAAATTACTATTTACTTGATGATAATTTAAGTAACTTTTATGTATTGTTTTTTGTGTACATTTGGGCATTAATATGCAAATTTAACACTTTTTTTTTCTATTTTCGTCCCTTATGTTGTAACATTTTTTTCAATCTTCGACTTTCATTTTCACACGACATATATATATATATATATAGACACACACACACACACACACACACACACACTTCGACTTATATTACTCATATTATTTAAATTTCATTATTTGAATTTATCATTTTTTATAAAATTTCTCATCCAATTAATATTTTTTTTTACATAAAATTTTATTTACTAATAAATATAATTTATTTTTCTCTATATTTGAATTTTAGAATAAAATTTTAAAACATGATTGCTTTTTCTTTTTCAAAAAATAAATTGGTATAATATATATAATGAATTCTTAGAATTTTTAAATGATAGTTGCAGATATATAAATATATAATTATTTTATTCTAAGGTTAAAAGTGTATTTTAAATAATTTATTTCACTTCACTAGGTATAGTCAAGACATATAAAAAAAAACTATTGAATCATTGTTTTTATTAAAAAATTAACTATACATCTTTCAACATAATGCAAATTATTTAATATGAATATTTTTTTAATGTTATGGAACCAATTTATTTGAGATAAAATAATTAAAATAATTTTTTAAAGAAGCCAACTAATTATTCAAATGTAGTTTTTACGGTAATTTTATTGATTATTTTGTAAATAATTATATAAAGACCAAATGCATATACTTTAAAAGAATAGTCTTCTTAGCAACATTAAATAAGAATAAAATTTTATTTTTTCATTAGTTATTTTTTTATGCAAGTCTATACATTAATTATAATTTTATTTTTTGGATACATTCTTATAAGAAAGATATTTTAAAAGTATTTGGTTTTGAATTCTTAATTAATAGTTTATGTTTAAATTATTACATGTTTTTATTTAAAAATCTCTCGAATAAAGAAGAATAAATCATGTTTTTTTTTAAAGCAAAAATTTTATAAAAAACACAAAATAGTAACAATTAAATAAAAAATTTTAAATTTTGAAATAATTTTGTTCTATCTCACTTCGAGCGTTTTGCGGATAATTTAAAAAATTAATCTTCTCGTCGAAATTGAATAAGAATTTTTTCTTTATTTGTTAATTTTATAAAAGTCCGACAATTAATTATAACTTTAGTTTTTGAAATATAATATTATGAAAATATATTTAAAATTTTTTTAATTCTTTATTAATATTTTATTTAAAATTATTATAATTTTTATTTTATAATCAATTCATAAAAGAATGATTTTTTTTAATAAAAGATTTATGAAAGACATTTAAAAATTAATTAAATAAAAAATTATAATTATAAAATTATAAAATAATTTTATTCTATCGTACCTCCAACGCAACGTGAACAATTGATCAGTTATACTGCTACACGGTCTTTATTCACTTCCAAGGGGTGATCAAATAGTTCACTTGATGACAGTAGGTCATGCTTTTACTGTTGGCCAGCTACTTACCAAACGATACAAAAACTACAAACAGCCAAATTCAATTTGCAGTTACTGTTGAAAGCGACAAGTTGTCGATTAATCCCCTAAAATACCAGGCATGGACAATGACTCAACTACAAAGAAGTCTGTTCAGAAATGGTTATACTTATAAGGACAAAGACCCAGGAAAAAGAATGAAGTCACCAACATTTCATATTACAAATAACATAAAATCGGCTAATTTACTTCCATATACAAGGAGACAAAGCATGCTAGCCAGAATTGGAAAACACGCAAATTCTGCTTAGATCATGTAGTAGGAGAAATGAGACAAGTCAATGACTGTTGGTCCAAAAATGGTATCTTTATTTATCAGGAGGCCACCAACCCACAATAGGGATGGCAATGGGGCGGGGTGGGGCGGGGTGGGGATCGCCATCCCCATCCTCGCCCCGTGTCTCGAACGGAGCAGAATTTGTCATCCCATCCCGGTCCCAAACGGGGACGAGGATCTTCGTAGGGCAAATGGGGCCTTGTTTTACTGTTTGTGTCCATTCCGTCTCACCCCATTTTGCCTCGTTTTGATAGATTTTATAATGAGCACACACAATTTGTATAATTTTATTTCCCAAACAAGAGATCAAATCACACGAAATCTACTATAAGTCACCGTTGACATAGCAAAACGGGACGAGGTAGGCAAATCTCATTCCCGCCCCATCTCTGTCCAAAAAAATTATGGGGCGCCCGCTCTCCGATCAATGCGGGGAATCCTCGCGTTGATTGGGGCGGGACGACCTCGGGTCGGGTCATTTTGCCATTCCTAACCCACAACATAACTAAGGAGTGCCCTGTTATTCATTTTCTATCATGAAGATGGCTGCCCTAAACAATCATCAATTCCTTCTCCACTATTTACTAATCTTCTCTCCTTCAATGCCTTCGTCGAGTCAAGCCTCACCATGTACCCCTTTAGTTGCTATGATCAGGTTCAGAATTGTGATTCCTGTCTATATCACATATCTGAAGGTCTTTCCTTTGAACAAATAGCTTCTTTCTACTCAGTGAACGCATCCATTGTTAAGCCCATTACTCATGGCCTCAAACAAGCCTATCGTGTATCCGTTCCATGCACTTACAAAGATGTGAATGGCACTCAAGGGTATTTTTATGATACCCTCTATAGTGTACAATCTGGCGACATACTTGCTAATGTTGCAGGGGTTCTCTATAGGGGGCAAGCTTGGGAGGTTGTAGGAGAGGAACATCTATTTATTGGAGGAGATGTGATTAGTCTACATCTTCTCCGTGGATGAATAGAAGAGAGACTGAAGAGGCAGTGACATATAAAGTTAGGGAAAATGATACCTTGACAGGGATTGCAGAACTTCTATCTGCTGACTGGGATTAAGAATCTAAATGAAAGATTGCCTCGAAATCCAAGCTTAATTGATGTCGGAAGAACGGAATTCATGAACCAAAACAAGGTCAGCAATTAATAATACCCTTCAAATTTTTCTTGCAGAATCTAAATCTTATTAGTTGTATGACAAAAGTATCTTTCAATGGTGGGTAACTCCTTTATTTCTTCATGTTGAAACCAAGAAAAACACACTATTTGACAATAATCACTGTCAGCTGTCACTTTATTTTCAGTATGTTCATTGCTGTTATTCCTCAACAGAAGAAACAGAAACCATAAAAACAGAAAGAAGACCCAAAAGCTGTCAACAAAGGCCGGAGTCTCTCAAAGACTTCCTTAAACCCCCCTTTCGTGAAAAAGACATAGAAGGTCAGACTCCTAACGTGACCATTAACCAACTACAGAGCAATCTGGCTTCAAGAGTAATCTATGAAAAATAATTGAATTTGAGGAATTATATAATGGACATTAGCTCAGTTAGTCTAAAGGTATTACTTTCCGATGTGATTGCTTGGTGTAGATGCAACCTTTGAATCCGAAAGGCCGGTTGTATATGGTTTGAGGGAGATAGATGAGGCGACAAGTCACTTCGACGAAAGCAGGAAAATTGGACTGGGTGGATATGGGAGGGTGTACATTGGTACACTGAAAGAACGGGTATCATATCATTTCCCCAACATGTTTGTATTTGACCCATATGTCATGTTTGTTTTAAATCTATAAGTGATAATTTAAAAACTTAGAGCACAATGGATTTTAATGGTGAGCTCAACACATCCATGATGTATGAAGGTGTAAAATTAGGTTAAAGAAAAAATCCATGGTCTAATTATATAAAGAGTAAGTAAAGCCTCGCATTTTCATTTTCAATCAAAACACAAAACCTTAAAGTATTGGCATAGACTAGAAGGCTCTTTCTCCTTGGCGACTCTAGTTTTCTTTCAGCAATATCTTGAGCACTTAATCAATCATGATAGGAGGTTTGTATCCTATTAATTTTCACTCGCGTTTATATGCATAGACATATTTAATTATTTCTATCATGTGGTATCGAGCCTCCTTCTTGCTATATTGATTAATGTTAATAGAAATTCATTAATTATATTTATTCAAGATATACTATGATTTTTATAGAAAAATCATATATTCTAGTATGGTTATTTAATTAAAATCTTTAAAGTAAAGGTATATGTATAGTATATTGATGTACAATATTATGTCCCTATGGTACGGATTTTTATCAACACGCAAAATTTTCTTTTCCCCACCCTTCTAGCATGTGTGTGTGTGTGTGTGTGTGTGTGTGTGTGTATATATATATATATATAAAGTCATGAATTAAAGATTGCCGGGAAGCTTACAATTAAACTTGGACAAGTGCAACTTCCCGATACTTTTCTTAGAACATAAAAAAAAAAAAAATGGTGTCCTTGTGTACTTTCACAAGTACACGTGCTCCCAATTTAATTTCATTCAAAATTTCATCTCATATGTATCAAGTACATATTATACACATTGTCCAAGCATTGTTTCCTTTTATTAGATTGAAATAATAATAATAAGTTAATATGGCATACACATGCATGCATAAGGAATGGCCATATGTTATATTTTAATAATATTTTACTATCAATTCAAGTTATGCGAGTGTATTGTATATTAATTTAAGGAAATATGGTTATTTAGGAATATCAATATAAAGTTTTCAATTGATATTAAAGCAATGCTATGTTGAGATGGTAATGTTAATTAACTTAGGAATAGCCACAATATCTTAAGTTATTTTGATGATCACATTAAAGTTTATTAAATTAATATGCTCATAAAGTACATAGCTTAATTTGTAATTATTTTATAAAAATAATGACTTGGCCTTACAGGGAGGTTTTTATTTTTATGATTTAATTGGAATAAGATAATAAATTGATATTAAGAATGGATTTTATTCTAGGCCCTCAAGTGTGAATATTTTTTATTCTTGATATTTTATTTATTAGTCTTATTATTAAAGAATTAGTGAATTCTATGCATGATGCAACCTCTACCCACAGGAAGGTTAGAATTTATTATTAAATTGACATTGGTCAATTTAAATAAAGTATGTTTTCATAGTATTAAAGTCTTTTCTTGGTTATTGCGGCTTTTCTTATCGCTTTTATTGATACATCTAGTATCCAATGCTATGTGGTGATAATTTTGGTGATTGGAAAGAAAATATTCTCTTTGCATTGGGGAGTGTGGATTTGGATTTGGCCCTACGTGTGGATGAACCACCCATCCCCACGGATTCAAATGATGCACAGGAAAAGACTAATCATGAGCAATGGGAGCGATCTAATTGCTTAAGTTTAATGTTCATAAAGTCTCGCATAAATAAGAGTATTAGGGGTTCAATCCCCGAATGCTCCGAGACAAAAGATTTCCTAAAGGCCATAGAGGAACAATTTGTTCATTTTGATAAGGCATTAGCCGACACCTTAATGAAAAAGCTTTCGACAAGTCATTTGACTATTCTACGAGTGTGCGTAAACACATTATGGAAATGAGGGACACTACTCGCTCAATTAAAGTCCTTAGAGGTAGAGATTTTCGAGTCATTCTTGGTGCATTTTATTTTGAACTCTCTCCCTGCAGAATATGGTCCGTTTAAGATTTCTTATAACACACATAAGGAAAAATGGTCAATTAATGAATTATTGATCTTATGTGTTCAAGAATAAGGGAGATTGAAACTTGAGAAACTTGAAAGTGCTCATTTGGTTTCTCAAGCTAAGGGAAATTTCAAGAAGGGTAAAAATGTTCTAAAAGTGAAGAAACATGAACATATATGCCTATAAAACAAAATGGCAATAACGAGTAAATTTTTCTTCTGCAAGAAATGAGGACATGTTAAGAAAGATTGCCCTAAGTATCAAAAGTGGCTCGTGAAGAAAGGTAAACTCATCTTTTTAGTGTGTCATAAATCCTTTTTTATTGAGACTCCTAATAATACATGGTGGATTGATTTTGGTTCTACAATCCATATTGTGAATACCATGCGGGGCTTTCTAGAACTAAGGAAGCCGAAAGGAAATGAAGAAGACATCTATTTAGGAAATCGGATGCGCTCTAAAGTTGAAGTTGTGAGGACTTTTAGATTAATTTTAAAATTTGGATTTATTTTAGATTTGAAAAATGTTTCTTATGTTCCATCATTTTCTAGAAATTTGATTTTAGTTTCCGGACCATGTAGTATTGGCTATGGATTTTTGTTTAATGAAAATATTTTTAGTATTTTGAAAAATAAAATTTCTATTAGTGGTGGAACATTAATTGATGGTTTATATAAAATTGATCTAGACCCCACTTTTGAGCTCAACTATTTATCAATGCATGTTAATATAGGTATTAAAAGGAGCAAAATTGATTAGAATTCCTCCACATTATGGCATTGGAGATTAGGTCATATCTCCATTGAAAGAATTAAAAGATTGGTGAATGATGGAGTTTTAAATGCTCTTGATTTTATTGATTTTGGTACTTGTGTGGATTGCATAAAGGGAAAGCAAACTAACAAGACCATTAAAGGTGCCACGAGGAGCTAAAAAATTTTAGAAATCATACACACCGACATATGTGGACCGTTTAATACTCCTTGCCTAAATGGTTAGAGATATTTTATCTCATTTGTCGATGACCATTCTAGATTCATGTATCTTTATCTTTTACATGATAAGGCTGGAGCACTTGATGCTTTTAAGACCTTTAAGGTTGAGGTAGAGAAACAAAAGGAAAAGACCATTAAGATTGTGAGATCCGATAGAGGTGGAGAGTATTATGATAGGTACATCGAAAAAGGACAAATGCCGAGTACATTTGCAAAGTTTCTTGAAGGAGAGGGCATTATTGCATAATATACAATGCATGGCACACCACAACAAAATGGTTTAGTCGAGAGAAGGAATCATACTCTCATGGACATGGTTAGAAGCATGATTAGTAATTCTAATTTACCATTATCCTTATGGAGTGAAGCACTAAAGACTCGCTATGTATATTCTAAATAGGGTTCCATCCAAGGTCGTCTCTAAGACACCTTTTGAATTATGAAATGGATGGAAACCTAGTTTAAATCATACACATATATGGGGTTGTCCTCGTTAAGGTAAGGATTTATAATCCTCAATTAAAAAAATTAGACCCTAGAACAACTAGTGGATATTTCATTGGTTATGCGATAGAACTCTAAAGGATATAGGTTTTATTGTCCTTCTCACAGTACAAGAATAGTAGAGGCAAGAAATGCTAAATTTCTTGAGGATCTTAACCTTAGTAAGAGTGATTTTCATCGAAGAATAAAATTTAAGGAAACACAAGATTCAACCGTGTTGCATAAGGATAAAAAAGCAATTGGTTATTGTTCAAGAAAGTCAATTAGATAATGTTGAGCAACAACCAATTCCCGAGTAAAAAGTTCAAGAGCAACTAGTTCTTGATGACCTAAACCCACATGAAGATGTTGAATTAAGAAGATCTTCATGAGTAAGGAGACCAACAATTTCTAATGACTATGTTGTATACCTTCAAGAGTCCGACTTTGAAGTTGGACTTAAGAATGATCCAAACTCGTTTTCACAAGCCATGAATGGAGAAAACTCCAATTTATAGTATAATGCCATGAAAGAAGAAATAGAGTCTATGCATAAAAATAAAGTTTGGGACCTCGTCGAATTACTAAAAGGATCTATAGCCGTTGGTTGCAAATGGGCTTATAAAACCAAGAGAGATTCTTCCGGTAATATCAAACGATATAAAGCTAGACTTGTGGCTAAGGGTTATACCCAAAAGGAAGGCATAGACTATCATGAGACCTTTTATCCAATCTCTAAAAAGGATTCATTCGGAATGATAATGGCATTAGTAGCTCATTTCGATTTGGAGCTACATCGGATGGATGTGAAAATAATATTTTTAAATGGAAATTTAGATGAAGAGGTATACATGAATCAACTCTGAAGTTTTTTGTGATGATACAAATAGCCACTCGGTTTGTAAGCTAAAAAGATCTATATATGGGCTAAAGCAAGCCTCCCGACAAGTGGTATATTAAGTTTCACAATGTTATTACCTCGTATGGTTTTATTGAGAATATTGTTGATCAATGCATATACCTTAAAGTTAGTGAGAGCAAATATATTTTTCTTATCCTATATGTAGATGATATTTTACTTACATGTAGTGACTTGGGTTTTGTTCATGAGACTAAGCAATTTCTTTCTCAAAACTTTGATATGAAGGATTTAGGTGAAGCCTCTTATGTCATTGGCATAGAGATTCACAGAGACGGATCTCAAAAACTATTAGAACTATCTCAAAAGGCCTACACTCGAAAAATCTTGGAAAGATTCGGGATGTCAAATAGTGAATCTTCGGTAGTACCCATTGTCAAAGGGGATAAATTCAATTTGAATTAATGTCCATAAAATGCATTGGAAAATGAGCGAGATGAGTAACATTCCTTATGCATTTACGGTAGAGCGGTTTGATGTATGCACATGTTTGTACAAGACTCGACTTGGCATTTGCGGTAGGAATGCTAGGTAGGTTCCAAAGCAATCCTGGAATGGACCATTGGAAAGCTCGCTAAGAAAGTCATGAGATATCTACAAGGAACTAAGAATTATAGACTAACTTACGGGCATACTAATCACCTTGAGGTGGTTGGTTATTCAAATTCGGATTTTGTTGGTTGTGTAAACACAAGAAAGCCTACTTCGGGATACATTTTTCTTCTTCTGGAGGAGTCGTGTCTTAGAGAAGCACTAAGCAAACTATTGTTGCTTCATATACTATGGAAGTAGAATTCATTGCATGTTATGAAATAACGACACATGCAATTTGGTTAAGAAACTTCATTTACGGTTTACAAATTGTCGATTCTATATCAAGACCGAGTAAAGATTTACTATGACAATTTGGTCGTGGTTTTCTTCTCTAAGAATAATAAAAGTGTAAACCAAAACAAGCATATCGACATAAAGTATCTCATTGTGAGAGAGAAAGTGAAGGAACATGAAGCGCTCATTGAGCATATTAGCACCGAGCTAATGATTGCGGATCCTATGACTAAAGCACCGTCGACAAAACAAGTATAGAAATCATGTGGATCGTATGGGTCTAGCTAACCCATTTATTGTTTGACTTCATTTTCTTTTATTGATTGTCAAGACATTTTTTAAGTTGTTCTTAGAGATTGATGTGACTTTTGTGCATAATAAAATATTAATTTTATATTAATTTTGATATATAAAGTTGGACTCCAATGACTTATTGGAAGTTCATTCATAAAGTTTATTAGCTCATTAAGTGCTTGTTTTAAGGATGTAATATATTTTAATACATGGAAGAGAGTGCTTAGTTATAAAGCATAACCGCTATGATTCATATGTTGCATTCATAATCTAAGTATGAATGTTTTCACTAACTAATCATTTTGGACTCTATAAAGAAAATGTCATTTTTAGGTAGTGTCATGTGGGCCAAGTGGGAGAATGTAAGAAATATTCTATAGTGTGACTCATATGTCATGTTTGTTTTAAATCTATAAGTGACAATTTAAAGACTTAGAGCTCAATGGACTTTAGTGGTGGGCTACGCACATCCATGATAGATGGAAGTGCAAAATTAGGTTAAAGAAAGAGAGTCATTGGTCTAATCATATAAATAGTAAGTAAAGTCTATGTTTTCAATCAATACACAAAACCTTAAAGTATTGGCATAGACTAGAAGGCTCTCTTCTCTTAACGGCTCCGAGTTTTCTTTTAGTAATATCTTGAGCACTTAATCAATCATGACAAGAGGTATGTATCCTATTAATTTTTACTATGCTTATATGCATAGGCATATTTAATTATTTCTAACAACAAAACCTTGTCGCCAAAACCAATGACAAGAAGTTGCCATTAAGAAAATGAAGTCTGCTACAGACCAATGGAATTCTACTCAGAGCTCAAAGTGTTGTGCAGGATACATCATATTAATGTGGTAAGGATTATTGCCCGAAAAAGGGTACAGCGACTTTCAAAAAAAAAAAAAAAAAAGAAAAGGGATTACGTGATAGTTTTGATGGCCAAAATCTTATATTCAGAATGGATAAATCAATGATCACCTTAATGACTCTTTTCTAAAAGGTATTAATGTGATGAATGCTCCTTTGTCTCAGTTCTCCAGCATAAAAACATGCAGTAAGCACATGATGACCAATTAGAGAGTGAATATGGCTTTAGAAACCATGATAAAGCTACATTATGCAGCATATTACTTCTGCTAGGTTCTTACACTAGGTGGTATCAGGTCACTCGCCCCTTTCATGGCTCCCAAGAGCACAAATAGCACTAGAAGCTGCACGAGGAATTGAATATATTCATGATCAGACAAAGCGCGATATGTTCACCGTGATATAAAGACAAGTAACATTCTACTTGATCAGGGACTCAGAGCAAAGGCAATTGTTACCGTTTTCATTTTGATGGTGTGCATAACGTGCATATATGTTTGTGGCTAATCAGTTCCGTTACATATTTGGTTTGCTCATTTTTAGGCATATGTATGCAGTTGCATAAAACCGTTCCTCGCTTCACATCACTTTACTAGCTATTGCTCTTTCCATAGGTAGAAGATTTTGGACTGGCAAGATTAGTAGAAAGATCAAATGAAGAAGATGCAGTAGCAACACGACTGGTTGGCACGCCAGGTTACATTGCACCTGAGTAAGTCCTGATATCATAGTTCTTCAGATTTGTGCCTTATTCTCGTTGACTCTTTTCCAAAACTAAAAAAACCAAAAGGAGCATTTTCTGTCCCTTTGTTTCATAACTGTAATGTTCAGATCCGATTATGTTCTGCTAGATCTGTTCGTGAACTACAGATGACACCTAAAGCTAATGTGCTTGCTTTCAGAGTGGTTCTGGCAGAGCTAAGAACCGGTCAGCATGCACTCACACGCGAGAACTGGGAACCGAATAAGATGAAATTATTGGGATCAATTGTAAGTCAAGATTTGAATAAAATAGTTGCTGTGTGGTATACTAGTTCCTACAGACTGCTTAGATTACAAATCCCTTTTAACTAGAAAAGTCACCACTACAATCGCCAGTAATTACTATCTGCACTCTAGTGCATCCAAATCAAATTTTACATCCAATTCAAAACATTTTACAGACAAGTTTATCCTCATTGACCTGTTTTGGCTTCTTTGTTTTGTTTTGTTTTTTTCCTCCCTTTTTCTATGTTATCGAAACTCAAGGAACGCTAGATGTCTGAACATGCATCAATATATTTGCATATAGAGGGGGATATAAGCCTATCTTTTTGGTTCTTCAGATTCTAATGTTGTTCTGCGTATCCCTCCCCACCAACATCCCAAAACCCCGTCTTCAGTCTCTTCTTTACCTGTCATTTTATTGATGAACCACCTAACCTTCTTTTTCTTAATATTTGTTGTCAAAATTGGATCAGAAGACAACAATATTCCGAGATCAAGACCCAGAGACTGCTTTGGAAGTTAATATGGATGCTAACTTAAAAGGAAGCTACCCAATGGAAGAAGTGTACAAGGTGGGTGTAATAGCAAGAGCACCAATCTATTTGACATTTCACGTTCATCTCGGATAAGTTAAGACTAGAAATGTTAAATAAGATGGACTAGAAAACAAGAAAGCAATTCTGTGCTTAACTTTAGGACTAGGCAGAAACAGAGCAAAATTCATTGTTCAAAACTAAATGAGCTCATCAATCACTAAATGGAAGGGCATAGGCTATTAATCCTATTGCATTAAGCTTCAATTCATGCAACATCTATATGTGTATCACACCTCCTCTTACCCTATTGCAGATGGCAGAAATACCTAGACAGTGTATGAATGAAGATCCAATAAATCGACTGGAGATGCGAGAAATTGTCCGGAAACTTTATAAAATTTTGATGTCTACAATTGAGTGGGAAGCATCGCTTGGAGGAAGCAGTCAGGTTTTCACCATGTTACCTGATGGAAGATGAATTAGTTTCTCCATGGACATGGTTGAAAAAATTCCTCAGTTCCAAATTCATTGTCACAATCACAGCACAGTTGTGAACAAAACATGCTCATTCTTTGACTGGAAGGAGTGTAACTAAATTAACTTGCACAACATTACATGTGTAGGGAGCCATTACGTTACAAACATGGGTTTTATAAAATATTGTCAGCGCCAATTAGATGATTGTTACTTAAGTACAACAACGCCAAATATGTTTGCTTCAACGAAAATTTTTCAACAATGCCAAAGTTCGCATACCTAATCCTCTCCATTACCTTCTGTTTTTTTCCCTTCTCCATCTCATTTTGAAACATGTACTTTTTGAAAGTTGAAACCTGTAACAGGGAATAAGAGGTTTGTGGCAGAGTAATTATTTTAAATAAAGAGGACTGGGCATTCTTTAAAAACAAATACACTAGGTGACGTAAGACCAATACTCTCTTTTGTTATTTATTTACCTTCCATATGCGGTACATGCTGCATTTTTTATTTTAAGGAGTATATTGCCTTTTTTTTTTAAAAAAAATTGTAATTTTCCTTTATATTTGTTTATCCTTAGACATTAATATTTAATCTTGAATTCTGTTCTTATTAAAAAAAAAAAATCAAATAAAATGTTTTATAAAATGAAATAAAGAAACATTTCATTTGATTAGATCATTATGTATAAAAAAAATTATGCACATAATAACCTTGTATTAATAAATTTAATTTCAAAATTAATGTAACTTCAAGATCCATTTGTATGTTCTTCTCAATAACTTTTCAAAGGTTCCATAATTATAAAGTAAATTATAAATTAGTTCCTCTCATTTCAAGAAACAAATTAATTAGTCTCTTTCATTTCAAGATCTAATCATTTAGTCTCTATATTTTGAAATCTTCTTGTGATTTTTTTTTTTTTTTTATGTTTTTGCTTCTTTTTAATTTATTTTGATATTTAGTTTTAAGAAATAGAAAAAGAAAAAAAATGAAAAAAAGAAGGAAAGATTGATGAGAAAATAAAAGATTTTATAGAATAGAAATAATATTAAATTAAACAAAATCAACACCGATTAAAAGATTAAATAATAATTTTTGAAACTAGAGAGACTAATTAATTTGTTTCTTGAAATTAGAGGGACTAATTAATAATTTACTCCATAATTATATTACAAAAATTTTTAGAACCTTTTAGCAACATATTAACCTTTTAGCAAACTTTTTAGAACCATATATATGTTGATTTTTGTTTTGGAATCACAAGGATACATGGAATATCTAAAACAATGAGAAGGTCGGTACCTCAACGTGAGGATTGCCATATTTATTCATATTGTACATTTGATAGAATATATATAATTTTGAATTGAAAATAGAATATGAGTATTGAAACAATATATTTTATATTCAATATTCAATATTCTATTTTGAATATAAAGTATATTATTACATTATATATGGTATAAAATATATTATATATTCAATATATGACATATAATATATTTTGTATTCAATAGTCAATATCTTTTTTACGAAATATATTATTACATAAAATATGACACATAATATTCTTGTCTTTTATAGTCTATTACCTTTGCAATTTGAGCATGGGATTCAAGAATGCACAGGTTAGCACGAATGCGAGCAAATTGAGAGGAGGTGAGTCTTTTGGCAAAAATGTCTATAAGTTCATCATTAGCAGGAACAAATGTGGTAATAATATTATTCGATGAAACACGCTTATGGAAAAAAAATATATAAATCAACTTTTAAATGCTTAGAATGAACATGATTAACTCGATTAACAACAAGGTATATACTAGAGATATTATCACAAAAGATCTCAATTGCAAGTTGAGGTTGAAGATAAAGATCATGAAAAAGAGAGATCGAAACCAACATAATTTAGCAATAATTGTAGTAAATGCACGATACTCGATTCATTACTCGCTTTGAGAAATAGTGGGTGACTTCTTAACCATCCAAGATACCAAATTATGACTAAGAAAAATACAAATCATGTAGTAGATCTTCTAGTATCCGAACAACATATCCAATCTGCATCACTAAAGGCCATTACCGAAGAAGGATCGATTTTATATAACTAAAGACCATAATTAATAATGCCTTTAAAGTAGGATACGATTCTCTTAATTGAGTATCAATGAATATCACGGGGATCATGCATATACAAACAAAAAGCATAAACAACATAGGCAATATTAGGACAAGTAAATGTAAGATATTGTAGACCCTCAACAATATGACATATGAGTGTCTCTTCTCCATCTTGGTCAAAAGTTTTCTTCTTATGATGGCTGAAAGTTTCAACTACTTATCCTATTTTTATTTTATTGTTCTTTTATTCATTTGATTTGGATACTAATTATTTAGGTTATTTCTATTTGTATGTACTTGAGATAATTAACTAGTCCTCATGGTTTTTGAATTTTCTATTTCTTTTAGGATTTGATCAAATATCTAGCACGAGTGGTGATTGAATCCCTATGTGTTATGAATCTTTATTTTCTTTAGAATTCTTATTTTATTATGAGTCTATGTAATATGTAAATCTATATTTAACTAGAGCAAACTAATTAAGTCTTAATTAAATTTAGAATAAATAAAGTCCAAGTTATTTTGTTTAGAGTCAAATTCGACCTAAGGAAAGTAACCCTAGCCAAATTTTGTTAGATTGTTTAAGTACAAGTTATGCATCTTATGTAGAGAAACTTTTGATTAATCTTTGAATGAAAAATTAGAGTTTTTTTTTTTGTTTTTTGTTTTTTGTTTTTGTTTTTTGTTTTCATATCCTTATGTATTTTCTTTGTTTAGATTGGTTAGGACAACGTAAACATATCCTTAGAGTGATTGACTAAGGTAGGCTTTTGATCAATAATTAATATAGGCCCTTGGAGAACATATCTCATAAGTATTTTAATCTCATCTTTGGGCGGTGGAGTCTATTTCAAGGAGTAGGTTGGTTGCTTGCACCTTTTGTTTGATTATTGGATTGAATAATGACATGAGTTACGGGTTGAATAGTTTCAGCCAAAAAGCTAATAACCCGAGTTAGAAATTTTTGTTTGGTCTGAAATTTTGATAGTCACTTTATTTAGGTCCGATTGGGCTTTTTTCTAAATGAAAATATTTGATAGGGTTTACGGGTTTTGAAAGTTGTTGGATTTTTCGGATCCTATTCCATCCAAAATTTTAACTTGCTCAAATAAAAACCTAGAGAACTTGGATTGAGTTGAATTATTGTTTAAGTACTCAACTAGATCTTATCTAGGTTTTGATAAAATTTTAGTTCTTTCTAGGTAATTTATCTAGGGTAATGCCTCAACGCTAGTTGGTGGGTTCTTGAAGTGTTGTTTATTGATTTTACGTTGCTTTGTTTGTAAATTGATTTGTGCTTGTTAAGTGGTTGTGCATTGTTTTGGGTTGAATTTGAGGTTGATTTGGTGCTTGTTGGTTTTGACTTATAGGTTATTATTGGTTTTCATATATTTGAGCTTCTATAGAGTTTATGTATCTCTTGATCCGACATTAGTTTGGTATCAAAGTTAAAGTTCGTTTTTTGTTATGTTTGTTATGGGGGAAAGAGGGTGACGTTGATAAGTTTTGGCAAAATGCTTATGGAATGGATAAGAAATTAAGAAAAAGTCTAACCATCTAGTATTGAGGAAACTAAAAAACCCAACATAACTAGTCCACATAGATATTTAGGGAAGAATTTAGTTACATGTAGGGAATCGTCATGTCTAAGATAAACTGCATTGGATGCATATAGAAATCAAATGTCCGATTTTACTACATTGTAGGTCTACATCTATTTGAGTGAAATTATCTTATAGGGATGGTTTAATCGAATGATTTGGAAGATATGCCAATCGAAGGTCTATATCCACAATCTAAAATAAAAAGAAAAAAATTTAAGAAATCGACATGCCATTAATGACCTCATGCCTATAATGCATAATTGGTAGGCCACTAATAGCCTTAAGCCTATAAACATAATTGGTAGGCCACTAATGGCCTCATTCCCATAAACATGATGGTCGGGCCACTAGTGGCCTCACGTCGATAAACATGATTGGCGAGTCGCTAACAATCTCATGTCTATAAATGCTATTAGCAACCCATCGATGACCTCACACCCATAAATATGATTGGCGAGCCATTGAAGGCCTCACGTTTATAAACTTGATTAGCAAGCCACCAACGACCTTACTTCTATAAACATAATTGGTAGGCCATTATGACCTCATGCCTATAAATATGATTGATAGGCCATTAACGACCTTATGCCCATAAAGCTGGATTAGTAGTCCACTATTAGCCTTATGTACGTAAACAAAATTGGTAGGCCACTGATCGCCTCATACCTATAAACATAACTGGCGGGTCATTGACGACCTCATGCACTGTAAACACGATTGGTGGGCCACTAATGACCTCATACTTATAAATACAAAATTGATCATATAAACACCTATCATATTTGTTCATGTAAAACACAACATCACCCTTTGAGGTTAATACTGACTAGCTCATTACATAAACATATATCACATTTACACATCGTATTCATTCATGTATAACATGATGACAACCTTCAAAGTTGACACTAAGTACTTCATCATACATACACATTCATTATATTTACACATCACATTCCTTCATGCAAAATATGGTATCAAGCTTTGAGGTTGACACCAATTACTTCATTATGTATATACACATCATATTTACAACACATTTATTCATGCAAACACAACATCAAACTTCAAGATTGATGCTAAATACTTCATCATATATACACATTTATCACTTTTACACATTGCATTTTTCATACAAAACATGACATCAACCTTCAAAGTTGACACCAAGTACTTCATCATATAAACACATTTTATTTAATAGGCGGCACCACATGAGCAACACAACATATACATTACATTTAACTAATTATATCACATAAGCAACATAACATACTAAATTGCACACATAGAAATCGATAATTTTCATAGATAAACCATTAAAATTAAAACCCATATCTAGTTCTCCTAGCTTTATCACGAACCGTTAAACACCAATCTTATTTCTCTTTAAAAGTACTCGAGATCTTAGAGTTTTTCGGATTCGATACACAATAGCGTATCTTGGTCACCTTTCAAGCATAACATTCATTCCAGCAAACATTGTATTCATTCATAACAATCATATATTTACATTTGAATTTTATAGCAATGCAAAAATGGTGTAAATGTGTTTGAAACTTACTTGATCAATCGAATGATTGAGATACCTCACCAGGAATATAGAAAACACCTTTTTGAAATGAAGAATCTAATCAAATGGTTTTTAATTAGTGGGAAGGGATATGTTACCTTTTTCAACCCTCCTTTGCTAGCTCATTCTTCCTTCCTTTGCTAATTCAATCATGTATGGATTAAATGTTTAAAGGAGATTTTATACTCAAAGCATTAACCATCGTTTAAAATCATCATCATCTTGTTTCAACTAAAACTTTAGACTTAAGGTTTAAAATAGGATTTAGGTATTTAGTTTGAGGTGGTTTTTGAGGGATTTCGGGATTGTTTGGCTAGTGGCTTGGGAGTTATCTTAGTGGTGTTTCATGGCTGTTTTGAGGTGGTTATAGAGGTTAGATAATGATGGTAGTAGAGGTGGATAGTGACGACGACAAGATGGTTATCTTAGGTTGTTTGAGTGGATGGTTTGGAGGAGCTATATGGTGCAATTGCCATTGGTATTTTAAGTCTGCTAGATGGAACTATTAGTAGTGACTTTTGGATAGCAGAAAAAAGGCTATTGTGGCTAATGGCAAAAGGGTTGTAAGTGGTCAATTATGAGAGGCTATCTTAGGGCTATTTCAAGGCTATTTTGGGATAGTTTCAAGGCTTTTTTTAAGGTTAGAAAATGGGTTATGATTGATGGAAAGGGGTTGTGGTTATTACCATAACTTGAGAATAGAGAAAGGTCGTCGTCCATGGCAAAAATAGAGAAGGGAAAAGCTATTACTAGTGAAAAAATAGAGGAGGAGAGGGGTCTGCTACTTGTCATGGTAGTAATAGAAGAAAATAGGGGAGGTTGTGGCAGACAGGTTTTCGGTTGTTTTGAATGATGGGTGTGGAGCTTAAATGGTGGCGGCTTTGATTTGTTTTAGAGGTGTGGAGCTTGAGTGGTAATGGTTATGGAGGTATTAAGTTTTTTAAGAGAGAGTGTTTATGTGTAGGTTTCTTTTTAAGAAAGAAATGAATGATATTTCTTCTTTAGATGAAAGAGGAAGAGAGGTTATAGTGGGGTTTTAAGGTTTTGGGTAAAACCTATTGTCTTTGTCTTTTCATCTTTTCTCAATTTCTAACCTCATTTCTTCATTTTCTTTTTAAACACACTTCCAATTAGGATTGTTTTCAATTGAGCCTCTAGTTAAATTTTCCTTGGTCATAATCTTCTATATTTTTTAATTGGACCCCAAATCCTAATTTTTATTTATCTTTTTTTTTTTTTTATTAATTCTTATAAACTCACAAAAATTGTGGGATTCCTAAAAAAATCCTAACAAAAAAATAAAAATTCATAAAATAATAAAGGGTTAAAAATTAGGTGACAACATTTGCCTTTTTTTACAATGTTTTTATCTTAAAGTCATTAAATGACCTTTCTTTGACTTTGTATAGAAATTTTTGTAAAGAAAAAAAAAGAAAAGAAAAGG